CCCATGATCCTCCAAGTAAACTCTAAACCCTTTAGGTTTCGGGGGTGAAAGGCTAGGGCTTGGGGTGTAGAAGGGCCTAAGGATTCGGGACACGGAATCCCCAAAAAAGGAACCCTTACAGACGATGGGCTGCTGAAAAGAGAAAGTATTTTCGGTTCGTTTGAGTTGTGAAGGTTCAAGGTTTTTGAGGCCAGAAGCGCAGGGTTGAGGGTTCAGGGCTTCTGAAAGCTGTTGTTTGAACATTTATCAGTTTCAATCAGTTAGAGGGCGGGTCGGTGCACAGTGTAATGTAAGGCAAGGTGAGGTAAGGTAGGGCAATGTCACTACGGATTGTTGTATAGAACAGCTCTGACTCGTGGCTTCGTGACTTCTTGTGTCGAGCTGGAGCTCAGGCTCCTGCTTCCAGGGATCCCGATGATGGAAGCAGCTTTTCAGGTTTAGGGTTAAGGGTTTAGGGTTTAAGGGTTGAGGGTTCAGGGTGAAATCTTGAAGGTCATGCAACCGCTGGTACAGGTCTGATTTTAGCATGACCTTCATGTCCTTCATGAAGCCCTGGCAGGAAGGCCGGGACCGGACTCGACACCACGAAGCCTGCACCCGAAATCGCCGAACTCTAAATTCGTAAAAGGCCCAGAGCCGGACGTTCCAACACCCATACGCCCATTACGCCTACCTGAGCTATGAGCCACCCCAAATTTAAACCCTCAAACCGAAATCATATATGAAAAAGCTTAAATCCCAAACCCGAACCTTATCCCTCGACCCTAGAACCCTAAACCCTAAACTCCAAAAGCCTAAACCCCAAACCCGAACTTCATCCCTCGACCCTAGCACCCACACATCCCAAACCCGGAACCCGAAGCGCGGAGAGCTAGTCCTGCAGTGACAATTTTTTGACCTTTTTGGGGGTTGAGAGTGTAGGGCTGAGGGTTTAGGGCTTCTAGCTTGAGGTTTTGGGGGTTACTAGGTTACTATCACGGCGTCAAATAATTAGAATAGGGTTTGGGTATATTCTACTCTAATTATAATAAGGAACCCCCAAGACCTTATTCTAACTATTAAGGCTCCTATAGAAGGCTCCGGGCCTGAGGTTTGAGGGCTTCGGGCCCAGAGACTCCAATATCCCTTAATTAAGGAATATACCCTAAATTATATTAGGGTTCCTATTAGAATTTAAGGTACATTCCTTAATTAAGGGATATTGGAGTCTCTGGGGGTGGCAGGACCTCTCCAGCCCGCACTTCGACTCCAACTGCATTACGCCGGGTACCGCCGCGGAAGTGTTAGGGTTCCAGAGCTTCGGTGTTGAGGGGTTTAGGGTTTAGGGTTTAGGGTTTAGGGTTTGTAGGGTTAAGGCTTTAGGCCTTGGGGTTTAGGACTTTAGGAGTTTTAGGGTTTAGGGTTTAGAATTGGCTGTGGGTATTTAGGGTTTATTGGGATGAAGGCTTAGGGCCAAGCGCGTAGTAGGGTTCTCCCCTTTGTCCCCCTTACGGCCCAGGCACGGAGTTTATGGCCAAGCTGACGACCCACCTGCGCTACTTCATCTGTAAGAAGATCCAGGAGCTGGCGAAGATAGAAGCCTGAAAAAGTAACAATGTTCTTCCTGATAGTGGTCTGATAGTTATAATTAGTTAGGGTTGAGGGTTGAGGGTTGAGGGTTTAGGGTTTAGGGTTTAGGGTTTAGGATATACTATCATTTCTGTTATCATCCTGTAAAGTACCCTCAAACCCCAAAGCCCTATTCTACTTGTGAAGGCCTGAAAGCCCCTGTATTGCCACATGCCGGACCTTGTCGCAGGACATGCCGCATCTGCATCTCAAATCCCAAACCTACCCCTCCAAACCCCGAGCCCTAAACCACAAACCTCCAAACCCTAAACCCTAAACCCTAAACCCTAAACCGCAAGCCCCAACGTCACAACCTCTCCGTTTGCACCCCTTGGAGGAGGATCCGCGCTGGCAGCAGGCCTTGGGCTTTTCTGCAACCTCTGCAGAGATCCCGTGCTTTTGTCTCTAAGGGCGGTTTAGGTTTCAAAGGTTTAAAGTTTAGGGTTTAGGGTTTAGGGTTTAGTTTAAAGTGTAGAAAGTTGGGGGTGTAGGGCTAGGTGAGGGTTTCGGGCTACGGTTTTTGGGATTTACGGCTTTTGGGTCGAAGGTTTGGTGTTCCACCGACAGTGTCAAGTTGAGAACCTTGGATAGCAGTTCATAGTGGAGTGTATCGTGCCACCTTGACAAGTGACAGATCCAAGATGCAAGGTTTCTTGAGCAGCTTCAATTTTTGGATACCGATGCTTCATATTGAACGACACTGGGCCACATGTATGCATGCATGGATGTATGTTGTATGTATGTATGTACGTATGTACGTATGTACGTATGTACGTATGTACGTATGTATGTATGTATGTATGTATGTATGTATGTAGGTATGTATGCAGATAAGTATGTATGTATGTATGTAGGTATGTATGCAGATAAGTATGTATGCATGTATGTATGTATGTATGCATGTATGTATGTATGTATGTATGTATGTATGTATGTATGTGTTCCAGGTACATACGTAAATACATACATACATACATGCTCAGAGTTCCTATTAAGGTTCTGCATTTTAGGTTTGGAGCTTTTGGGTTTTCAGGGTGATCGGTTTAGTCTTTAGGGCTTTAGAGCTATAGGGCTGTGGAGTTTACGGCTGTAGAGCTCTTGGCCCCGAAGCCTGCGCTACCTTTTTGCAAGCCAGCCTAGACTTGCATCACTTCCCATTTCAGTGAGACTTGTGGATCTCTACTCGGAGAGTCACAGCCGCGGATCTTAGTCGTTCACACTGCAGCGCATTTTTGCATACAGCCGTCAGGTGACGATTGTCCTGTCGGGTCCCGACACGCCGGGCGAAGGCGAGCACAAGATCATGGACTACATCCGCGCCTCCAAGGTCAGCCTTGAGATTAACAAGTCGTAGTCACGGTTGATCGTCTTTGACGCCGTCACGCCATCGTTGCCACCTTCACCACCATCACCTTCACTGCTACCCAACATCGCCACAGCCAGCACAGCCACCACAGCTACCATAGCCACCACAGCCACTATGGTGATGGTGAACATGTCGCTTATGTTGGTGATGCTGATGGCGATGTCATTGTCATCTCGGTGTTACTTTTTGCTTTCACCTCCTTTGCTTCTGCTATCTCTGGCAATGCCGTGGTGATGGTGAAGATGATGGTGACAGCAATAAGCACGGGGTTTGTGTGGTTTGGGCTTCTTTTCGTGTTTGGTAGCCTTTAGCTGTGTTGTTGGCTGGGTTTGTGTGGTTAGGGCTTTTTTTGGGTGTCTGGTAGTGTTTACCAGCCTGGGTTCTGTTTCCGGTAGGGGTGGTTCAGGGCTCTGTGTGGGCATGCTAGGGCTAGGGTTTTGTGTGGTTAGGCGGTACCTTTGGGCCAAGGGGCTGGTAATGTTTATGGCTATCCAACCTGTGGGTATGTTAGGGCTGTGGTTTGGGCTTTTTATTGGCTTGGGTTTGTTGATTAACCTGGATTCCGTGTGTGGTTTGGGCTGTGTTATTCGGTGAAGACGGGCAAGGAGGAGGAAGAGGAGGAAGAGGAGGAGGAGGAAGAGGAAAAGAAAGTGGAAGACGCAGACGAAGAGGAGGACGAGAACGAGGCGGAGGAGGAGGAGGAGCAGGAAGAGGAAGAGGAAGAGGAAGAGGAAGAGGAAGAGGAAGAGGAAGAGGAGAGGAGGAGGACGAACAGTGGAATGAGATGCAACGCTTATACCCCCAACCTTAAGACCCTAAGCCCCAAGATCCCCAAACCCCGACACCCCTACATCCTAAACCCTAAACCCTAAACCCTAAACCAAAAACCCTATGCCCTAAACCCTAAACCCTAAACCCTAAACCCTAAACCCTAAACCCTAAACCCTAAACCGTACACTCCAGGATCTCTAAGCTCTCTGCTCCAGGCACAGCCTGACTACGACCCGAACACACGGCACTGCCTCTACGGCCTGGACGCGGTCCCTCGGCCCCGGGGGCTTCGGGGGTGCTACGAGAGGTCTGGTTTCGGGTTTCGGCCTGTGAAATTTTGGGACTTTGGGTTTCGAGAAGATCTTGTGCCCTAAACCCTAAACCCTAAACCCTAAACCCTAAACCCTAAACCCTAAACCCTAAACCCTAAACCCTTGGGCTTAGTGGGTATGTCAGGGTGTTTAGAGCGCTTTTAGAGGATCTTGCAGAGCTTTATCTGGGCTCTACAGGGTTCCAAAAGGTTTTTTTTGACGTTTTAGGGTTTAGGGTTTAGGGTTTAGGGTTATATGATGCTTAAATAAGGGTTATTGGGGATTTATATGGCTGATATGAGGGGTTTTTAAATGAGGTTCTCTTATTTAAGGGTCCTCTCAAATGGATCCTACTGCTTGAGATCCTTTTTACGGCCCATTCTCCCATATCTAGACTCTGACGTGGATGCGCATGCCGGTATGGGAACAGAAGTGAAGCAAACACAGAAAGGGATGGTCAGAGATGATTCGATAAAGATCCTGTTAAGATAAAACCCTGGAAAACCCTGTTAGACACCCTGCTTCGAGATTACTCCTGAGACATGAGAGTGCCGAACCACACCCTAAGCCCTATAACCCTAAGCCCTAAACCCTATGGCCTCAAACCTCAAGCCTAAAGCCTAAACCCTAAGCCCTAAACCCTCAACCCTCAACCCTGAACCCTGAACCCTAAGCCCTAAGCTCTGAACCCTGAACCCCATGGCCCCAAACCCGAAACCCAATGGCCCTAAACCCTAAACCCTATAGCCCGAAGCCCTGAACCCGAGGATCTGATCATGCTGGCGCTCGCTTCCCACGAGCTTCACTTCGCTCTGCTGCGGGAGGAGGCGGAGAGTTTGGGAGGTCTCAGGGCTCTACCCATCGGCCCCATAGTAGTTCCTTTTAGGGGCTACCTTGTAGGATTCTAAATATGTTTCCCCAAAAGGAACTACTGTGGGGCCTATGGGTAGGGTTTCATGGTTTCAGGGTCTAAGGGTTTAAGGACTTCAAGGATTCAGGTGTTGTAGCCTTTTCAGGGATGTCCTGTTTAGGGTCTTTTTTTTTCAGGTTTAGGGTTTGAGGGGGGCCTTTTCAGATGCGACTTGAGGCCTGCACAGGGTCTCTACTTGAGGGTTGTTTTATGCTTTAGGGCTTTCTTGGGGCTTTTTGGGTTTGGGACGGGTGAAAGGGGAAAGGGCCTAAGTTCAGGAATGAGAGTTTAGGGTCTACCTTAAGAACCCAAAACCCACTTTTTTGTAGGTTCTTATTGTAAACCCTAATATGGGATTTATAGTGACCCTACAAAAAAGTAGGTTTTGGGTTCTTAAGGTATGACTTCTTCCCGACAGAAGCCCACGGAAACCCTGCTGAAAGCCATCTAGACCCCTCAAGGAAAAGCTGAAAGGCATTACTTGATGATTAGAATAGGGTTTTGCGGTATGTTATACTATAATGATAGTAAGGAGTTCCCCCAAGATATTAAAAGTAATTATTGAGGTCCCTATATTATCTCCATGACGGCCAAGTACAAGGAAGTCGAGCACGAGCCATCCGCAATCCACCCATTTTTCTGGGAGCCTCCACCGTAGACCCTAGCCTGCTATAATGCCAAATATGGGAGCCTAACTAGTTACCTATATACTAATTTGGGGGGTCCATATTCTAACTATAGTATAGTATACCCCGAAACCCTATTCTAATTATGAGGGCCCCTGCATTAAGTAGACTTTGGCCTGACAAGGATCCCAACCAGACTAAGACGCCCATCGGCCAGGAGCCTTGAACGGCTGAGGTTAAAAGAAGCAGCGGGGCAGCCTGGAGTCTTACAGTAGTCCCGTAAACCCTAAGCCCTAAACCGTAAACTTTAAGCCCTAAGCCCTAAACCGTGAGTCTTAGGGACTTGCCCAATCAGTTGGATGACCGTAGTGAGGGCTCGAGCGAGATCGCCAGAGCACTTTACCGTCCTAGCTGGGCGCAGGCACAGCCATGACCGCCGAACAGCTGCGTGCGCAGCTCGAAGCCACCAAAACGCAGGTGCAAGCCGCCCTACGAGCGAAACAAGAACTCGAAGCCGAGAGTCAGCAGGCCCTCGAGCGGCAAAGACTGCGACGAGAGCTGGAAGAGCAGCAGGAGATTCTGCGCGACGTCACGCAGGAGAATAGCTGGGAGCAAGCTTTCCGAGAAGGTGTCGATGCGGACAGAGATGGAAGTCTAGCCAATCTAAGTTTAAATCGCATCGTCCCACCTGCCCAAGCGCCTGAACTTGATGGTGGCTCCGTTCATTTTGGCCACCGGATCGTAAAAGGAGAGTACACCTGGAGCCTCGTTGCGATGTCGTGGCTTCGAACAGCGCTTCGCCAAGAACTCGACTCAGACGTGTCTTCTCACGACTTCTTTGTGGACGGGTACAAATTCGACTTCGTCTACAGTCCGTTAGGCAATCCCATCGAAGATGTCACGGACAAGCCGAAGTTCGGATCCCTTGCCATCCGATCATACCCCCCAAGTCCAGCAGCTTCCACTGCATTTCGCTACAGCATCTTTGTCAAAAGACAGGACGGGTCCTTCGTGCAGTGGGGTGCTACAAAGGATGTCATCCGGCGCGGTAACGCGGTTGAAGTCTGTGGCCCAGATGTGCATGTAGAGGGCTCTCCTCCGTCAGCGATCGGAATCTTCGGCTTTTGGAAGTCCGTCCGTTTGAAACCCGAGTGACCCAGTCTCTACTCAAAGAGTCTGTGGATGTGCCAGAGCCGACCCTGCATCGTGACACAGAAACTCTGCTCGAGGAAGCTAGCAGCAGTGATGTACGGTTCAGCGTGCAGGGTGAGGACATCCACGCACACTCGCAAGTTCTCTCTGTGCGAGGTCGGAGGTGCTCAGAAAGCAGCTGAACTCAGGAATGCAGGAGTCCATGTCCAAGGTTATCATGGTTGAAGACTGCAATGTGGCCACCTTCAAATCCTTCTTAAAGTTTCTCTACACTGACAAGCTTCCGTCTATCGCGGACCTTGCAACAGAGCAAGGGAGCCAAGCTGAGAAGGAAGTCGGCAGTCGACATTCGTCACAGATGGAGGCATTGTGGGCTGTCAGCCACAAGTATCAGGCGGGGTGTTGTCAAACGGCCCTTCACCACTTGACACAGATTTGTCAATCTTTCATGTTCATGTATATGAACCGCCGGCAAGCGTACGCACTCACAGACATGTACATGCATACATAAACACACACGCACACACTTTAGCTCGGCACGAAAGACTGCGATGAGCGACCGACAGGACAAGACGATGGTAAAACAGAGGAGCAGGACATGACATGACGATTGAATTTGGTGTGTAAGCATGTCAGACACAAGGAATGGCATACTAAAACTGATGATCCGTTGGGGTAGGGTTCTGCCCCGGTGTGCCAGACGCAAGGAATGGCAGACCAAATGAGATGAAAGGAGCAAAGTGCATACCCCAGCTGCCCTCGCTGAGACCCAAAAGGGAGGCCTGCAAGTACGTTTTCCTGAGCTTCGTTGGACAGAGCCCCTCCGCACTTCCTCTGTTTTTCTGCGCAAAAATTGGCCTCAGGAAAGAGGAAAGCTTTTGGTTCCCACCCTTAGGCCCAAGTTAATTTGATTGCTCGTGAGACGGGAGTTGCACTACATTCTCCCCAAGCATTTCCAATCTATCTTTGTTCTTGGTCCTTGGTTCCTGGGCCCTTGTTCCATTACCACGGCCTGTGTTAGTTAACACGGGCCTAAGATTCGACCGGAAAGTTTGTTCATGGACCCCGTGTTAAGTAACACGGCCCATGTTAAGAATGTTAAGAGGGGTCAAATTGGGCGGCTTTGAAGGCATGTTAGGCGGTGTTTTGCTCGACTTTGGTTCCCGTGCTGAAGAAGAATGGCACTGTGTGGCTTTTCTTGGCTTTTCGGCATTGCGCACATGGGTCGATCTTGGAGCAGGTAAGTAGTTTATCTATATGGGAGTTTCCGAAAACAGGGGACCCTAATATAGTACCCTATATAGTAGGACCCTTATTAAAAGAACCCCAAAATACGGTACCCCCAATTTTTGGAAACTCCCATACACATATATATATATATATACATATATATATATATACATACACACACATACATACACACATGCTGTTTGGCCGTGCTTGGGGGAAGCATTGGTTCCGGGTGTTTTCTGGTGGTCTGTCGTGGTGGTCCTGGTGTTCGTCTTGGTCGTCATGACCGTTGTGGTGTTCTCTATCACTGGGAACCACATTGATGTAATATGAATATGTAGGCAAACCGATCACAGCAAAAGGCACGTCTTTGCTGCGACCCAAACTATGTGTTTTCAGCAAATTTCGTTCCTGCCATGTGCGAAGACCCAGTGTAAGTAGAATACACACCTATCTATAAGTAACGTATACATACATACTGTGTTTGGGCATTCGGGAGTTGCTCGGTAAGGCTGCGCGCAGTCTTGACACTTACACGGGTAGTACGCCTGCAGCGGTGGTGCGAAGCGCAGCTTTGCAAACAGCTCAGCTCAGAGCAGGTCTGCAGCGTCCTTCGCCAGGCGCATGTCTTCGAGGCCACGCAGCTCGAGAAGGCCTGTCTCTCCTGCGTCAAAGACAACCTTGCAGAGGTGCTCAAGCTTCAGGCCTACACTGATCTCTTGAGCAAATGGCCTGAGATCGCTTTGAAGATTCAGCTCTTTTCAGCCGGTGTGCCAGAAACAGAGGCAGCGACGATCTTGCAGGCCCGCAAGTTACGAAGGTTGGAGGATGGGACGGAGAAGACCTTGTAAAGAGCTGCATATAGTCCAACCCGTATCAATGGCGCTGGGCAGATTTGAATTCTGGCGGACCTCTGCATAGTTCTGTGGTGTTCCCACGACTCGCTCGGACGTTTGCGCAGGCGGCCTTCGGAAAGATCGTCACAGCCTTGCCATGTAAATTAGTTGAAGACTCCTCTAACAGGCCAGAAGCGCTACAGCCCTAAACCACAAACTTTCAGCCCCGAAAAGTGTTACAGGGTCGTAGTCCTACGGGGTCGTGATTAGAATCTCGGGGTGTCCTGCCACAGCACACGCACGAATTGTGATACCTTCCTGGATCAAGAGGTTTTCGGAGGCTCTGGGACCCTAGGCATCCCGACAGCGCTTCAAAATCGTATAAATCCTTGTAACGTCCCGCAGCACATTACAAGCCCATACTCAAAAGCCCGGTTTAGGGTTTAGGGTTTAAAAGAACACCATACCATCAAAGTTTTTTTCCATCCCGTGGGAACCCGTACAACCCCCCTAAGCCCGCAACAGGTGGTCTTCGCCAGGCGAGAAACCAAGACCACCGAGCAAAGGATGCTGATCTCCAAGGACTTAAGATACATTGTTAGTTAAGAATATAATTATCATTATTACAGTGGTTATTATAACTGTTAGTACTACTTACTACTACTTTTATTGTTACTGTCATTATTATTAGGTATTCTTGCTATCATTATTAGTATTACTATTGCTACTACTATTATTTTTCTTCTTACCGTTTATTGTTGTCAATATTATCATTCGTATTGTTATGATGATTGTTACTGTTCTTAAATTTTTTAATCAATCTCAATCAATATTTGCGCTTGGGGTTTGGGGTTCAAGCTCCTGTCCACCCTGAACCCAGGGTGGACGGGAGTTTGAACCACCCAAGGCAGTACTTACAGGGTCAGAAGGGGGTGGAGTGTTGGGTTTAAGGTTTCAGAAACTAGGCCCTAAACCCTAAACCCTATACCCTAAACCCTAGACCCGGGGTGAGGGTTTAGGGTGTAGGGATGTGTGGAGGTTGAGTTTAGGGAGCAGAGCTCCGGCCTGAGTATCACAGTCTTTGCTCGGTTTCCTCGCGCCATTCACTGCGTTCTTCGCTACTCAGATTTCCTCAAGGGAAGGTTTAGGGTTTAGGTTTTAGGGTTTAGGCATTTCTTCTGCTCTCTGTTCACTTCCTTGCAAGCTCTTCAGCCTCATGATGGCAATCGGTGCTGGTGCTGGGACCGAAAAGCCGCACCCCTGTGCCGCAAAGCCCCAAGGAGGCCTTACTTGGAGGATCATGGGACTTAGTAAGTAGGGTTATAAGTCCCCTAATTGGGGTTATAAGTATAGTTGCCTTAGTTATAACCTTACTTACTAAGTCCCATGATCCTTTAAGTAGTGCCAGTTCCCCCAACCGTGAAGCTCTGATCCTGGACCTGCACGGCCAGCTCAGCCCAACGCCCTGAACCACTGAACCCACATCTTGTTGAAAGCCCTAGGCCCAGACCCTGAGTCCCAACGCCTAAGCCGTACTCTAAAGGCTAGAATTAGATCCCTTTGCAATTTGGCAGGACCGCTTTCAGCTGCTTCACATCGCCCTGTTGAGCCTCTCGCCGAAGATGAAGCAGTCGAAATCCAACAGTTGCAACGACAACTATCGCATTTGTTTACGGAATTGACGATCTTCGCCGTCATCAAGATGGCTGGCATTGCTATTCATATCATCATTCGTATATCTATCACTATAATTTGTTTCTTTCAAAGCTTCACAGCTATGTCATAATGACTGGGTGTTGTTATTCGTCTTGTTCTTCTTATGATTTCTAGCTCGACTCGACGACCAAAACCTCAGGAGAGTACATGGATCTCGAGTTTGCCAGCAACGCAGCTGGGGGCGGGTTCTCCTACAGCCTGGAGAGGGTCATCGATGAGACTTGGAGTAAGAGGGTTTGGGATTTAGGGATTAGGGTTTTATTGCGTCTTGTAGGGGAGCTATGGACTTTGTATTCAGGAACTAGTGTTTCGAGCAGGGGCTTATGGTTGCGAGGGTTGAGAGTTTCTCATTCCTGGTTTTGAGTAGGCGCCTGTAGCATTGAGAGGCGTTCGGTGGGGGCATTTCTCATTGCCTTTTACTCGTAGTGCTTTGTAGCTGTAGGGCTCGACGCCTTCAGGATGATGATCTGTTGAGGCGAGCAGAAGGCTTTCTATTCGAGATTTTTGGAAGTTGTATCGGGCTCCATCTAAATGTATGTGTCCAGGTTCAGTATGAATGTTTAATATGAGTGCGCAGAGTAGGATGACAAGCCCTGTTTTCAATCACGGAGTTTCGCCGGCCACGAAACCTCAATCCTAGCGAGGACATGACTATCTGATGCCTTGCGGTTTCTTCCGTCCGAGGGCCTTACGCCCTAAACCCAAGACCCTATAAGCCCTCAAAGCCTAAACCCTAAACCCTAAACCCTAAACCCCCCCATAAACCCTCAAAGCCTAAACCCTAAACCCTAAACCCCCCTATAAGCCCTCAAAGCCTAAACTCGAGAAACCCTGAGCCTAAAACAGCAACTTGACACCCAGCAGCGGAGGACTCCACCCTCCGCCCCTCCCAAACGCGAACACCCTTAGAACCCCAGACCCTAAACCCCTAAACCGTTAAACCCTAAACCCTAAACCCTAAACCCCAGACCCTAAACCCTAAACCCCAGACCCTAAACCCCTAAACCGTTAAACCCTAAACCGTTAAACCCTAAACCCTAAACCCTAAACCCCTAAACCCTAAACCCTAAACCCTAAACCCTAAACCCTAAACCCCAGACCCTAAACTTCAGCTGCCTCAGGACTTCATCCTCTTCTGCATTCTGGTGGGTAACGATTTCCTGCCCTGCCTGCCTTTTGCAGAGATCGGCGAGAGTGGGCTGGAGTATTTCTTCAGTGCCTACAAGGCCCTAAACCCTAAACCCTAAACCCTAAACCCCTAAACCCTAAACCCTAAACCTCTCTGGAATACCGAGTTTGGTAGGGCTTCGTCGGTTTTTATTACGGTTTTACGCTGTTCCTGGGAGGTTCGATACACTCATGTTGTTTGCTTGTGCATTGGGCTTTATCGAATGCATATCCGGCTTGCATGGCCCAGCAAGCCCACGATGCTTGAATGTAAATGACTATACCACATACCGCAAAGGGATTCTGAATATTACTTCCAGGTAGGCCGATGCAGATGAGCTGTTTAAGCAAGAAGCCCCCCCACTCTCCAATCCTTAAAAGTAAATCTTCCCAATCCCTAGAAGCTCGATAATCTAAACCCTAAAACCCTAAACCCTAAAATGGCTTAAACCCTCAAAAACCCCCAAACCCTCTCGTCTGAAGCCCTGAGCCCCCTTCCGGCCACCAGGAGCACCTGAAGTCTTCAACGGCTGATCCGTGGCTCACCGGAGGTTGTGGTCAGATCAACTTCAAGCAGCACCTTTCTCGCATTTGTAGGACCTGGGGTGGAGGGAGTTTTGGGGGCGTCCCGAGCTTTTCCCTGATTGAGACCGAAGGGAGTGTTGAGGACTCCGCGTCCTCGTAACCCTTATAGTAGTACTTTTGGTAGCCCGAAAAGTAACCCTCCTTGTCACGCTTGCAGAAACCATTATGACGTTCAACCTTGACTAACCTTGATTCCAGAATCAGAAGCGGCCCTTTAAGCCCAGACTCACCCTTCTAGTAGCCCTTCTAGTAGCCCTTATCATAACCCAAACCCTAAACCCTAAACCCTAAACCCTAAACCCTAAACCCAAAACTTACCCTAAACCCTAAACCCTAAACCCTACACCCATACCAGGCTGGCGCGATTCTTGAAAAAGTATGCGGAGGTTGAGGATGGACTCCTCACGGCCGCCTGCGACGGCGGCGAGTGGGTGCTGGGATGCTCGGTGTTGGAAACGCCGGAGAAGTATGAAAGCGGTTTAGGGTTTAGGGTTTAGGGTCTACAGAAGCCTACTAAGATGTTGTGGGCTTTCTTAGGCGTTGCATTGAGTTTTAAGATAGAGTGGCATTATGGGGATTTATCAGGCTTTAATTGGCAGTAAGTTTTTCTCCGGAATCTTTAGGCAGGATGTCTGCGGCTTGGAGTCGCGATGTTAGTCCACGGACGCAGGCAGTGTTGCATGGAGGGCATCAGGAAGTGGTGCTTTAGGGTTTATGGTTTAGGTCATCCCGAAGCACAGTGCTATATCGATTTCGGGTTGTTGGTTCCAAAACCCCAAGCGTTCCAGCCTCCCCAATCCACCAAAGACCGTAAAGCCGGAGAAGCCCAAACAACTAGATCCGAAAACCTTCAGCAACCTCAATGAATCCTGAACCTTTACCCTAAACCCTAACGCCCCTCTCGGAACAAAAGAACCCTAAACCAACCCTTACCCCAAAACCCTAAACCCTAAA